GGTGAATCGGGTGCAGGATGAATGAGGGTTCCATCCACAAAACCAAATTTATTTTTGGCCAATAATGCATTTGTCATGGCTCTACGCCATGTTGCATAATTTTCTTCTTTGAGAAGGCAGGAAACCAAAGTTAGGCCCGGATTATCAGATGGGTGTAATATATATGGTGATAAAAAATCATAGGTGTTTTGGCTGGAGTTTTGGTTGATGATTTGGATATTTAGAGATGCAGAGTCATTACTCTTTTCTTGAGTCATGGTGATAAAAGAGAGTAGACCCTAATAACCTGCTCTGATACCATAAAAAAGTTGGCTCGAAAACTTAAAATCTATTTGATATGAGAGGTTCTTATAATACATACAGCCTCAGTAATTGTTGCTAATCAAAAGAAAAAAAAAGGAGCAAATCTCTCCAGTTTTCAAAGCAGCAAAAAATAAGGAAACAAAAGAAATTTCAAAATAGAAAAGAATTAGGAAACAGAAAAGAAAATCTTGGTAGATGGTTTCCAATAACTTGCTTGTTCTATATTGTCTGGAGGTGCCGTAGGTAACGGGGTAGAGATTGCAAGTAAATGGTTTTGACAGTGTGAATATGGTGACGCAGACTAATCCACAAAATTGTCCCTACAATTTATCCATTAATAAAAAGAAACGATTACATTATCAGCAGCTGATGCAAACAGATATCAATTCAGGGTGGGGCAGTCTCTAGCTTGTATTCTGAAGTGGTGGGTTATGACTTATGATCATCAATCTCAGAATAATAGAAAGAATATGAAATTTTATTTATCAACTTTTGTTATCTTTCTGGTAGGCAAATCCATGTGAATTGTGGTGGTTCTTTCGTGATAAATGTCAATGGACCACATTGACAAGTTTTGCTTCACTTGTTGCCAGAATGTAGGATTTATCATCTGCTCTATATATACACTGATAGAAAGAATGCTTCCTTATGTCTGTTAGATGTTTTTATGCATTAGCTATTTAGAAGCCTTAGATACATATCCTGCCATTACATTTATCAGTGACATAAGAGTTACAAGTTTCCGAAATCCTGCACTTGTTCATGCTAAGCAGATTATCCGAATAGTGACTGCGGCTTCAGAAATTCCCAGAGGCCACCTTGCTGTTTATGTTAGAACACCAAACTGAAAAACTTAGAAATTGGCTTCAAGACGTGTATCAATGCCACTATCCTTAAGGTTTTATTCGCCCCCACTTAAGTGTGCAAAAGAGTTACTGACGTATAAACCTCGAAGATACAATGAAGCCCAATGATTGATGGCGTTTTGCACTGACGAAATCAATCCACTGAGCACTCACCGGAGTATAACAAGATTATCAAACTTCTATAATACTTTTCTGCAGGAAAATAGTATAGAAGAAAACTTGAAAAATGTTTGAGAAAGAAGATTGAGAGATATTGTTGTTTTTTTCTTCTTTTCAATGGATAATGAGGGTCATCTTTTATAGGCATAGATGCCTGTTCTCAACAGACACTATTTGTGTCTGTTACAAAGAGTTGCTTTTGTTGATCTTTTCCCAACAGACGTGACTCTTTATAGTGTCTATTGATTTAATTTTCAACAGACACAACCCTTCTTTTCGATATGAAATCATATTTATTTGAAAATATCCAACAGTTTATGTTGGTGAATCCCAAAAGAGGCGCTTTCTGATTCCTGTTTCATTTCTTGAAGCACCCTTCATTTCAAGAACCGCTAAATCAGGCAGAAGCATAGTTTGGCTTTGATCATCCAATGGGTGGTCTCATAATCCCTGGCGCAGAAGAAGCCTTCATTGAACTTGCTTGTAGTTTGAATCGCTCATGAGAGGCAACTACCATAAGATGATGGCTAGTCTAGTAAACACCAACTTTCTGACTTTGTTAACTGAAAAAGTTCAACCACAGTTTTGAATCAAGGGTAGTTACGTACTCCAAGTTATTGTAAATTTCTCTATTTCTTTATCTAATGTTTTCTGTAAAAGAAAATTATAGTCAAAATTTACAACAAGAAGATGAATGGACTTTTTTTCTTCAGTTTTGTCCTCTCTTTTTGCCTTTGTTTTCTTTTTTTCCTGATGTCAATATAATATATTGATGTAATTAAGTATAGGATTCATGTTTCAGCTCAGGAACCCGAATGCATGTATGCCCAGAGTCATCACGTACATTTTGCCCTTCAAGCCTACATTTAAATCTGTCCTTTAATTCATATTACCCAAATATGCTCAGAAAAGTGGGTTAAAAAAGGAGTCTTCTGTACAATCAAATAATAAAAAACGGATTCTTCTGTAAGGCTACCCTTATAGTTGGCGACATGTACCAGAAATTTCGTCAGTCGTAGGACTTAATCTTTCTCTCTCCACGGCGTAACTTGGTTGCAGCAGGACATAGACAACAATTAGGTTAAATGAAAATCAGTTGGGTTCTGATGAGGTCTAATTGTAGTTTGTAGGGCACACTTCAGGCGCTCTTCAGAAGGGTTTGTCTAACAAGTTAATCCACCGAAGGAACACATGCATGTGAGTTGAGTTAGGACATGCTATAAATACTCCTTGAGCGGCTGCTAGCTTCGATATTTGTTGCTGTTTAAGATTTTGTATGGGTATAACAGCCTTGGAAAAATTAGTCCTCCAAGATTGTATAGATCTTCAGCAGGACCAAAAAACTAGTCAAACTAGTATGGTCTACTGCTCTGAACAAACGACAATTAAATCAGGTGCAGATAACCAATTTATGCAGACAGAGAATTTCGTATGAGGATGCTTGTTACGCCGATATCAAATAGATTTATATCACATATATATTATCGACTTTAACTCCAGAATTACATGATTTAAGTGGGTCCATTAATTGTTGGTCATTCTCAAAGAATGGCTGGGCAATAATGCATTCTAACAGATGTACATTAAAATCAATAGTCACCTATTTCTTGATGATCTGTTGGAAGACACAGCCATGTGATTCTGAGCTTTTTATGTCTTTCAATCAAACCCCACCAGAATGCATCTCGACCACTCAATCTGAAGGTCATTGGTTTCCTATATGCTTTCTTCCATCTATATATACAAGTGCATTATCCACACAACAGCCAAGACATTCTCACATCCTCCTCTACTACCAAATCCTAGCATTCTTGTTTCAAGTCTGCTCTGCTATTTTTCGTACTCCAAATTACTAGTGGAAATGGCTATCCGTGTCCCTAGAATTATGCATGCTAGGCAGATTCTTCGTCAATCTAAACTTTTTTCAAATCAAGCAGCCTCCACCTCAACGGATATTCCCAAAGGATACTTTGCAGTTTATGTTGGGGAGAGCCAGAAGAAGCGATTTGATGTTCCAATTTCAGTCTTGAATCAGCCTTCATTTCAGAAATTGTTAAGTATTCTGAGGAAGAATTCGGATTCAATCATCCTATGGGTGGTCTCACAATTCCTTGCAGAGAAGAGGTCTTCATTGATCTCACTTCCCGCTTGCATTAGCTTGCTACAGCTAAAATTACGTAATCAGCAGATACAATTTTTTTGTCCATTGATGTACATCCTTCTGTTTCTTTGGCAGAAAGAGATGATGAGCAAATGTATACCCTTCTGGCCAATTTTTTTAATACAAATTATACTGTTTCAATTATCAAATTTTGCTTTCAATTATTCTAATTAAAACATTGTTAAGTTGCTGTTGCTCTATTCCAAGATCCAGTGTTATATTTTCATTTCTTTCAAAAGCTATACGATAAAGAATTTCAGATTCTATTAGGCATTGGAATAAAGAATACCTTCAACTCTTTGATTTCTTGAGTAATTAACAAGACGTCAGGTTCCACTCCCGTCAAAATCCACTTATCTCCAATTTTCGTGTCTGAATATGGAACAATCGGGGAATGGCATTGGCAGCCCATGGCAAAACTCCTCGCTCCAATTACAAGTCTTGGATCCCACTTGCTTGCCTAGATAAAGTAATTCTAGTTTTTCCAAAAAAATTAATGCACAGAAACTAAAAAACATTGAAAGAAAGAAAATCAGGAATATCACTTATGTTATTGTTGTTAGACAGTATTTAATTATTGGATAGTAACCCAAAAACCTGATAACAGTAACAGTTTGGCAATTTTACTTGTTTATATTTCCTTCATGTCCGAAGCATGTTGTAGTCAAGGTAACAGATCGCCATCCATTTAAATCTTGGGAGCAAAACTGCCTTTTTTTTTTTTAGGGTAATAAGTTGTAGGCCAGGCCAGAGTTTTTGTCAATGGACACAAGATCATAATTATTCAGCACCTAATCTTTTGTGAATGGTTGGAAGGCAGAACCGCGTGTAACCTCTTGATCTAGGTCTGAAGCAGTCCCTGGTGTTTTTCTCCCGCAGGCTGCAGCCTCAAGCTAAGCAAGGAGAATGCTTGCGGTGATATGGGAGCCAGACCGTATTGTCCACCAAAGTTTAAGCTTGAGTAGTAAACAGTCCTTGGCTAGCAGCCTCATGCTGTAAAGCATGTCGGTCCATTATTCCTGCATCTACATCCATATCAAACTCTCAATTCTCATTTGTTCTCCATCTACGTCAAATATCCAACTGTTCCTTTCGAATCTTTTGCTTGTCCCCCGGTTGGTTTAATTTCGGTGGGAACATTGGAACCAAACAAATCAATATGACAGCTAATAAGTTTATCAAGAATTACACGCTACTAACCCAAGATCAAAAGTGCCAAAGCTCTCTAAACTCTCTCTTTTACTTTCTGCCAAGAAGACATGAAGACCACACTTGCAGTTGGTCTTTCACACAAAGCCCCTTTTTATTCCCAAATCTTGAAGTGTAGGGCACATTGTCCGTCAACAAACAGACCACTGTATGAATTTCAGCCCCTAATCTTGTAGAAGACTTGGAAGACAAGACCATGTGATACCTCTTAAGCAATATCCTACGGTAACCCGAGCAAGCCACTCATTTCCATATTTCGGAGGACTTTCACCTATCATTATTCTATATATAGCAACATATTTTGATCACAGACTACAGCAAACTCAAGTCTGCACATTACAACCTCTCAAAAGCCTCCCCACAGAACAAACACTTCTGAATTCTTCCCCATATTTTCGTCTAAAGGATTTAGCAACAAAAAGATATGGCTATTCGTCTGCCTGGTGTTGTCGCTGCTAAGAAAATTCTCCGCCGCTCTCCTCTGACTTCAAATAAAATAGCTTCAATGTCTTTAGATGTACCAAAAGGCTTCTTTGCAGTTTATGTTGGAGAATCTGAAAAGAAGAGATTTGTTGTTCCCCTATCATTCCTGAGCCAACCTTTGTTCCAAGATTTACTAAGCATTGCTGAAGAAGAGTTTGGTTTTAATCATCCAATGGGTGGTTTGACAATTCCCTGTCATGAAGATATGTTCATTGATATAACTTCTCGCTTGGATAGACCATAAGAGAAGGCAACAAATACCTTTTTCTTCTTTTTTTTTTTTTTTGTGTGTGTGTATACGAGAAACACCCAATTCAATGTAAATACCTTTTTCCTCTCCATTTTTTGGCCAAAATGGCTTTTGTGAAGGGCAAAAAATGGTTCCAAATGAGTGGAAAAGGAATAGAAATCTTTCTCTTTTTCAAACATATTCTTACGCAATCGACATTTGATCCTATAGTTTATTAACCAAATTGGAATGGTGGTCCTGTATGTTAAACGGAAATCAAATATTTTTGCATTCAGAGTCACAGATCAATCATTTACATTTCTATAACAGACAGCTTGCTTTCATCATTGAGATGATTGCCTATACTATAAATTACATGGATCAGACTCCTTGGAATGATGCTAAAATCAGATCCTAGGAATGTAACTACATGTATTTCCTTTAGTCACATTTTAGATCAGATACGGGGCTAAGACTAAAAGAAGGTTCAAAGACAAATGAAATGGAAAGGGCAAAATGGTTCCAAGGTAGACCCAGATTAGTTCAGAAACAGATCATATGATAATTATCCCAGGGAAGACTAACATACCTCATTTCCTTGGCTTTTATGTCATTTTTCTATTGTTTATGGTAATTAGGGTTAGTATACATTTATTACTTTCTGGGGGCTTACCTCTCCTTATCTTTTCTCCTAATTTTCCCCTTCAATTAGACTTAACAAGTGCAGTCAAAATCTTGCTTCATGTCTGAGGCATGTTTCCAATCCCAAGTTGAAAAGAATCATGAATTTAATATAATTTTATTATATTAAAATTTAAGGGAAAAGAATCATGATCTGTCAATGGAATGCAATACAATTTTTCTCTCTATAAATCTTCTGAATAATTTGAAGACAAAACCACATGACAAGATACAAAGTCATGAACTATGTGATGGACACTCGCTACAGCTGGTGTCCTTGGCTTGCATTGCAACTCATCAAACTGATCTATCCACTTCCTTTTCTGCTCCATTTTATTTCTTCAGCAATTAGTGTTTACAACCGCATGCAAGTCTGCAATCAACACCCAACATTCTACCATTTTGCCCGAACGCCTAATGAATTTGTTGTCTCGAGCATGTCCTTTATCTAAAGAGTTGATCAAATCTTCATTAAAGATCTCAATCAAAAATCCAACTGTCATTTTCCTTTAGTTCTACATATACATCAAGTATCTATCTGTCCCCTTCCAATCTTTTTCCTGGCCCTGGATTGCTCTATTTGCTAAGTTGTGGGGCACAGTGTTTGTCAACAGACAAACAGTATGATTTTTCAGCCCCTAATATTTGACGAGGTGTTGGAAGACAAGACCATGTGACACCCTCTTGAGCAATGTCCTAACCAATTGTTTCATAGCCACTCACTCAAAGATTGTAGAAAAATTTTTACATTTCACCCTTCTCTATATATACACCTACATATTTTGATCACAAGCCACAGCCAACTCAAGTCTTCACATTTTCTTTCAAAGAAAACACCAAGGAAAGAAAATGGCAATTCGTCTGCCTGGTGCTGCTAAACATATCCTCCGCCGGTCTGCTCTGACTGCAAACAAAAGATGTTCAACTTCTTTAGATGTACCAAAGGGGTTCTTTCCGGTTTATGTTGGAGAATCCCAAAAGAAGAGATTTCTGGTTCCTCTGTACTTCTTGAACCAACCTTTGTTTCAAGATTTGCTAAGCAAAGCTGAAGCAGAGTTCGGTTATGATCATCCAATGGGAGCTGTCACAATTCCATGCCCTGAAGATGCGTTCTTGGATGTTACTTCTCGCTTGAATTGATCATGAGAGAAGCCAACTACCAAATTTTGTACATCAAGAAAAGCTAATTCAATGTAAACATTCATTTTTTCCCTCTGTTTTTAACCAAAAAAGGATTTTGTCAAGGGGAAGAAAAATTTACCCCACGGATGCAACACAAATTGTTCCCTTTTCCATAATGGAGACATACTTTAATCTTTCCTCTCAATTCAATTTTGTTCCTATATTCCTATTATGCTAGTCCTTGAACTTTCTTTCTTTATTTTTATCAAGGGAAAATTTCCCTTCTAACTGTAATAACGGCTGATTGGTTAAATGACCAACCTACCCTTTTGGAAGAAGGTAATGCATTTTGAGGACTCCATAATTTTTTGTTCCTACAGTTTACATGAGCTTTGAGTCCATCACCAAAGTTTTGCAAATTTTATCTCAAACAAAGAATCTAATAGCCACTGAAATCCTTCATTCAGACTTGCTTAAAAAAGGTTTGCTTTTTGTCTCTCCTAATATCCAAAGCAAACTCATTTTCACTTATGTCACATGCCTTGGCGGAAAGCCCAACCTTAAAATCGTAACCAACTGCTTCAAATCCATAAACCCCAAAAACCCAGTACCCTTTAATGTAATTATATCTGATTTTTCAAAACATGGATTTGCCTTTTTTGCATTGAAAACCTTTTCTTATATGCACTTCAATGGCATTTCCTTGGATACTTATGCTTTGTGTGGTTCCTTAACAGCTTCATCCTCATTGAGAAATGCTGAATTTGGTAGACAAATTCATGCCCACTTGGCAAAATCTGGTTGGCTTTCGAGTGTCTTTGTGGGCAGTGCTCTTGTTGATTTGTATGCGAAATTGTCACTTATTGCTGATGCAGCTGTGCTGTTTGATGAAATTCCTGTGAAGAACTCTGTTTGTGCAAATGCGCTTTTATCGGGATTTTGTGAGGCTAAGTTGTGGGTTGAGGGACTTGAACTAGTTAGGAAGATGCCTCAATTGAATTTGGATTATGATCATTTCACATTATCAGCTATTTTACGTGCATGTGCAGGGCTTTCGTCCATTGAATTGGGGAGGCAGGTGCATGCATATTTGATCCGTAAATTATATAACTTGGGGGATGATGTGTTTTTGCAAAGCTCATTAACTGAGATGTATGCAAAATGTGGGTTGGTGGTCAAGGCTTTGCAAGTTTTCAGTTTGGCAGGGCTAAGATTGAGTGGGGAGAAAAGGAGGGATATTGTTCTGTGGACTTCAATGCTTGGTGTGTATGGAAGAAATGGCCATTTTGAAGAAGTGATTTTGTTATTTAAAGAAATGTTGAAGGAAGGGATCAAACCAGATGAGGTGGCATTTGTGACAGTCATCTCGGCTTGTGGTCACACTGGTCAAATAAGACTAGGTCTTGAGTATTTTGATTCCATGACTCACGTTTACAAGTTGATTCCTGGCCCAGAGCACTACAGTTGTGTGGTTGATTTACTATGTAGGGCTGGTGAGTTGGAGAAGGCTTGGAAGGTGGTCAATGAGATGCTCCAGAAAGGTCACAGCAATGGCAGTATTTCCTTGTGGGGAGCACTGCTCAGTGCTTGCAATGACCATGAAAATGTTGAGTTGGGTAAGTTTGCCGCTAAAAAGGCACTTGAGTTGGATCCCCAGAATGTTGGAATTTATGTTAAGCTATCTAATTTATATGCTAGATTTGGAATGTGGGATGAGATTGGCCAGTTAAGAGAGTTGATGAACCAAAGAGGATTAAAGAAAGATGTTGCCTTTAGTTGGATTGAAGTCACTAGTTGAATGGAGCAGAAATTTAATTCTCAGAATGAAACATATAGGACGATGACGGTGTTATATAAATAGATGAGATTCTGAAGCATACAGTTCACCAAATTGACCATAACACAGATTCTGTATCTATCATCCTTGTGATCTGTCTGATAACTCTTGAAATGTCAATGGGAAACGGTGGCAAGGGACAAATCAAACAGCTTTGGAGGTGATTATGTTCATGTTAGCAAAGGGAAGTGCATCATCTTCACTTTGGTGGTTTTGATAATTGGTCAAGTAGCTGTTTAAGTGAGGACTCATACCTTGAATATGTATACTTCAGAGAAAAAAATGGAAAAGGAAACGCAGACCTTGAAGACTTTTGTTTCTTAATATAGATTACTCTCTAAGAAACTCTTACAGTTGCATGGTATCATTGGCATGGCTTTACAAGCTGAAATGAATGTATCACTGCATCTACTTTGCAATTTGAACTCTATGCCTTTCTTTTTTCTTTTGAAAGATGCTAAGGCAGTACATGTATGGTTTAACAAAATACTTTCAGAAATAAATGTAACTTTATGTCAATCACTGTCGTAAGCTTGTGATTCCACTATCTTTTGTTATCATTGTATGTAGAATTTTATGGCTTATTTCACCCTTATAAGGATTACTTCATTGAGAATTATGTCCAATGAAGATGGAACTCGACTGGAACTTTTGGATTTCATACTTAAACTGCAAGTTCTTAGGAAAAGTAAATCCTAGTAAGTTAGCTACCTATATGAACTCAACTATGTCCCAAAAAATTAAAAAAAAAATCTAACATAACTTCCTCTTATTAACTCATATAAAGCCTTCATGGAAACCCCCAAACTCTATTGTAAGTCTATTTAAGACCCTCGTAAGAGAGCCATCGGCCCCTGCTCAAATATTTCTTGATGGTCACTCTCCCCCAATTCAAGTTACAGCATGTTTTGATGCAGTAGCAGCAAAAACCACTGCATACCGACAAGGATCAAGTGTTAAATGCTTATTAAACCAGCCAATGGCAGCGTCCAAAACATTAAAAAGAAAGGGCCTTTTGGTCATTTAAAAGTGCACTAGTCCGCCGATCACATGGCATGCCGCTCTGTTATTGGTTAAGAACATGACAGCTAGGGAAAACCTCTCTTACGCAATCATTTCCTCAAACCCTAATGCGCTGCAAACCTGTCCAGGTAATGAAGGGGATCGAAAAACCCTAACGCTCTTCGATTTGAACCGTGATTGCTCACAAGGTTGTTTCAAGAAGGACCATCATCGAAAAAGCACCGTCCAGATCAACCGGAGATTAGCGGGGCCGCACTCAAATCCCAGCGCATCAAGATGGGCAAACCCGAAGACACTGAAAAGAAGGTAATTTTGCAAAATCTTATTTCAAATTTGGACATTTACCTATTTCTTATATCACTAAAATAACATCACCCAGAAAGCCAAAAAAAAAGTGGTTTCTTTTCATTTCAAAGCAGTTTCTTTAAAACTCTGTTTCGAAATTGCTCTGTTTCAGCTATTTGTGCGGGGTTTCATTGATTTTTGGAGCTAGAATTTGTCATCATTTTAAATTTAGAGCTTTACCCATTATTTTAGTAATCAAAATAATGTTACCTACAAAACAAAATTAGTTTTTGACCCTGAATGCACTATAAAATTAAGTTTTGAAGTTATAGTATTATAGCAGTAAAAACAGAGTTTTGTTGAGGAATATTTTATTGCGATGTTTTGATGATTCTTGTGCAGAAGAAGCTGAAAGATGTTGAAATAAGTGTTCCTATTGTATATGGTAACGCTGCATTTTGGCTTGGTAAAAAGGCAAGCGAGTGAGTATTTACTAAACACTTGAAACTATGCTTCTCTCGTTTGTAATTTACACGTACCAATATTTTGTTTGTATTTTTGAATGCTGAATTAAGGTATCAATCTCATAAATGGACTGTCTATGTTCGCGGGGCAACAAATGAGGATCTCAGTGTGGTGGTAAAGCGGGCTGTTTTTCAGTTGCATTCCAGTTTCAATAACCCTACAAGAGTTGTGGAGTCAGCTCCATTTGAGTTATCAGAATCAGGGTGGGGTGAATTTGAGATTGCCATTACTCTTTACTTCCACAATGATGTTTGTGAGAAGCCCTTGAACCTGTGAGTTGCTTTGCCTGTTAATCCGGTTTTAATATAATTGGAATGTTTCTGAAATAGCAGAAATTTAGCCGTAATAAAGTCATTGTTCAATTAGGAAATTGTTAAAAAAATGTACAGAAAAGTTTAAAATGATTTGAAGAATAATAATACAATTATGTTGCATTTGAAACTACTTCTATGTGTTGTAATTTTTATGTTGTAGATAAAGTCATTTGGTCTACAGTGGATCACTGTTAACGTCTCTAAGGCCAGATTCATGCTACATCTGTATCATGTTAGCATGAATAGATTGCATTCTACCATTAATGTTTCTCATTAATGAATTTCGTTTTATTAGATATAACCATGAGATATATGAATTGCTTTATTTTATTGTTTTCTCATTCTTTTAACATCATTCAGTTTCATAAAGAATTCGATTAGTATCGGACTGAAACATTGAAATAGCCAGCAGATATAATGTTTTGACTGTGACCAATCAAATGTTGGATTCTTGATTTTGTTTTTTCTTCTCAACTGAAGATATTTAGTGATTACTGGGTTTACTAACAATGATTCAGTTTTTAATTGATGCAACTCTCATGACCAAAATCACATATCACTTTCTCTATTGTGGAAAACCAAAAACCTAAACAAAGCTTCAAGGTCAAATATTGATTTTAAAATTTTTTTCTCAGATATCACCATTTGAAGTTATACCCAGAAGATGAATCTGGCCCTATGTCGATTAAGAAACCTGTAGTTGTGGAATTCTACAATGAGATTGTGTTCACAGAACCATCAGAGAGTTTTTTAACTCGTGTGCAGAATTATCCGGCAGTAACCTTCCCTAGATTACCAGCTGGTTTTACTTTAACTTCCTCAGGTATATCCCCAAGCTTTATTCTTCTTTTTTTTTTTTTTTTGTTAACATGCTTTTGGTTAATGAGCATACTTCTAAATCACTCACAGCACCGATTGAAGATGAAAGTAAAAGGAAGAGAGGTGACACTAAGGACCATCCCTTAAACCAGTGGTTCTTGAATTTCTCAGAAGCAGATGAGCTATTACAACTTGCAGCTGCTCGTCAGCAGGTAAGCAAGGATGTTTTGCTTCACATCCCAAACTAAATGTTCAAGTATGGCCAGTGCATACCATTTTTCATGGCATTAGTTTTGGTTTCGTGAAGAGAAACTTGTAACTCATAAGCAATTTGGAAAAGATGACGATTCCTTTAGCTTTGGGTAGATATCTCATATTCATATTTGGGCTTCAGGAAGAGTGAGTAAAGTGATGGAAAATGTTAAGACTATGATATATACTCATTAAATTGAAACTGCATCAGTGGAGTTGCTTGGACCCAGTAAGGCATTAAATTGAAACGGCAAAACTGGCTTCATTCTTGAATTAAAACAGCTCAGTTAGGGTTTGGTAAAATGGCATTTGATCATGCTGACTTCTTTTCCCAGTATTATACTGAATTGTTTCTTATTAACATATTGTACTTCAATAGGATTTTCTGTTTGGCTGTACAATTTATCTGGGGTGAGGGCTTTGGCTAAACCCTTCTCTATGGAGGGACTATAAGTTAATTACGCTTAAAATGTTCAACTTTTTCCTGAAGTTTTTCTGTTAGTAAGAAAAAAAATACAACTCAAATTCTTTACTTTTTTATTTATTAACAAGCCTATAATACTAAAAGATAATCTCTTCCAACAATCCTGAACTGTTTAACAATTCTAGGATTAAATTTCACCCATGCATATATTGTGAATTGCTTACTATCACTTAACTACAAATTTTCATTTTTTTTTTAATTTGCCATTATATTACTGGGTTCGATTGGGTTTCAAGCCCAGTATTTTGCACTTCATAGGATGAGTGTCCTGGATGCCTTTTTCAGCTTCCATGGTCGTAGTTTGTTTTCTATCAAACTCATTCACCGACACCTTTTCAAAATGCATTGTTCCATTATTACACAAGATGTCAACAAATTCAAATATTTTGACATTTTAATCATGATTTGTAGGTGCAAGCTCATATTGCTAAGCTTAGACGACAAATCAGCGTGATTGACGGGCAGAATCAACAGTTTAAATCTTCCTCTGACCAGTGAATTTATTATACTAGTCCTTCAAATTTTGAGACTTTCACTTCCAGTTGAAATTGATTTTGCGGCAAAGGCACATGATGGCATAGTAATGTAACTCTGAGATGTATTATCTGACACAGTTGTCTCTTTCTTTTTTGTTCATTTTCATGGCTTTTGAGCCCTGTACTAATAAACAAAAGGCACAAAGAATTTGTATAATTCCTCTGTTTAATAGAAGGCAAATTCATTAATTGAAAAACACCAGTTTCTGCTAAGTGCTTTTGAAAACCCTTAAGATGTACACAAGTACATGCTGCCTGAAAGTAAAAATACGGGGAAATATCAGAACTAGTTTAAGTCGGGAGGACGATTTTTGATTTTCTGCAGTTTCTAATAAGTTGTGGAGCTACAATTCACTGTCCCGCTAGGAGGACTGAAAAGACTAAAGTTTAAAGTGGCAACATAATTTGTTTGAGTGAGAAACTGAGAACTATGGCCAAATTGATATTAAGTGTCAGCAGTAAAGACTGTATGGAGCCAGGGAATAGAATCATGCCATTCGGAGCTAGGACAAGTTAGAATCATTCAAATCATATTCTCGTATTCTTTTCATGGTTAAAAGGAGATGGTCATCTCCCTTCTGTTGACTGCTAGGATTTCTGTAATAATTGAGTCAGGCGAAGGCCAGAGGATATATGGCTGATCAGTCTTTATGGTGATCTTCTACTAGTATATCAGTTTCTAGTTAGATATGGATCTAACTCTTTGCTGCTATTATTTTAAAGTAGCACTCGTCCTGTGTTTGATTGGTTACTTCCGTCTCAATGTTTTCCTCTGCACTTGTTTATCTTTGACGTGGTAGAATTGGGCTGCCAAACTTGTATCATTATCGAGTTTTTACAGAGTTCCTGATCACCTCTCGTATTGTTGGAGTGTCTCTAGATGAATTATACGGTAGATCATCTCAAATTTACAACAAAGCTGAGGGCCCTTCTCCAGGTACTGAAGTCAGTCCTTGTGATGCCCTTAGGTTAGGTTGTAATGGAAATGGGGTCATCAGCTCTGGCATTTAGATGGGTCCTGTCTTTGCTGTCAGTGTCAATTCAATATAATTCCATTGTCGTCATCATCTTGGTTTTTCAAATACCAGGTACAGGTCTATCCTTAATTCTCATAACTCCTTCTTAAATTTGTTATAGTGGGTCCAAACCTAGCAATTGCACGGAGACCTTCCTTATCTAGGCTTCTCATACCCAAGGTGCTAATCTATTTTGTGTATTTACTGAGGTTTATACCATTGTCCTTACAGCTGTTATGAGAAAGTCCTTAATTATAACCCCCTGCCTGATTGATTATCTCACTCTCCGTCTATTAGGAGCTTTGTTTAGATGATTTCCCCTAAAACATACATAAGCAAAATTATTTTCATGACTTTGATGGCATCACTTCCTGCCATCTGACCAGGGAGTATGCAGAGATAGACAACCTATCTTTTGTTACTATTACTGACGATTGTTTCCGCATAAGCTTAAGTATCCAAAATCTACTTTGTTATGCATGTCATAATCTTGTAGCTTAGGCACCTAAGACTACCCAAGTAATCATAATTCTTAAACTAACAAGGGGATGAACCAAAGTGTTTGGTTCTGTCAATGTATAATCGGAGTAGGTAGTGATGTAGATAATGGCATACTAGAATGAAGTTAATATTATGTAGTACGATATCAGTCCATGAGTTCCAAGTAGTAAAAGCTGGTAGAAAGAACAATAATGACTTAGGTTGATGACTTAAACAATTTGTCTGATAAAAGATTCCAAGAAGGCAGTTTACAGTTTTTTGAATGATGGCTTGGGGTAAAAAAGTATGTGTTTGCGGTTTGAAAGTAGTTGGAATGATCTCACACAGGACCTTACAATGTTGTCTTTTACAGGAGAGCCTGGGAGCAAGAGTAACATGGCCTTCATGTGCTAAACAAAAGGCAAGTCTTTTTCAAACTATAAAGGAAAAATTGCCTCAAGCCTCCTGGCTCAACAGTGCACCGTATTTCTGTGAGCAATGGTGGGCCTGTCTCGTCTCCTGTTTTTTTCATCCACTCTCCCCCATCCAATCTCATTCACAGAACATGCAAGAGTGTCTCTCATGGATAGCGACCTTTGGGGTAATTTTTTTGCTGTCTTTTTTCCCCTGTTTTACCCGTAAATCATGCATTAATCTCTCATCACCTGTCAAAGGAACAACTCTCACTCAGTTTCTGGATCTCAAAGGAACAATGCCGTTCGTACTATAAAAAATGATATGGCCATGGATTTGCACTTTAGTGGTATTCCAGTTGGCTCTCATATCCATAAGACCTTTAAAGCCTAAACCAATGTACTTATGTTTTGTGCCTGCGGGGGTATTTACTTATTTATCTGTTTATGTCATGAACAATTTGGGGGTCTAGCTTGAGAAAAACGAAAGGAGAAGACAGAAATGCAGGACAGTGCCGTATCAGGCATTAAATCTGGCCATGTTTCATCAGTTTCTGAGCCTTAGAACATGGAGAGATATAACTTTTTTTGAAACTGAACTAGGCTGGAGAAGGTATCAGTGGTGCACAATTGAAGCAGCATTATATTGCCTCTAACTACAACGTTTCCTATTTGGTGGTGGAGATTTTAGCAGGACCACGTGCAAAGCCATCTTGTCCTTGGGACATTCTTTCCCAGCACCCAACACAGCTCTAATGGATTTATCAAATTAAAACAGAAAAGAAAAACACATAATTCCTTTTTGTGTTTCATTCTATAGTCACAATGCATGCATCCTTGCTGCATTCTCGATCACCTTACTCATTTGTACAAGTTTGAGAGGCTATAACTAATTTGATTTAAGGGTTCATTTGGCATTGTGTTTACGAAGTTAAAATGCATTTTTCATAATAATTTTTGAGCCAATCATGTAAGAATTTAGAGAAGAAAATACCGTAACAAAGGAGTATGACATTTTTTATCTATTCATTCACTAATAAGTGAAATTTTTTTTACTATATTCAAATATTTAGTTCAATAATTGATAAGTGATCTTTACTTAAAATACGAGGGACAAAGAGGTGTCATTTGGTGTTGTTGATGGAATAAACTAAGAATATCTTATACTCATGTTCAAGTAGAATATTAAACAATATAGGATACTAGTCTAGAGTAGTCCTAGGTCAAGAATTTTACTTCATTTTGTTTGTTTTTGGATTAAGCAATTTAAGACAGTAATAAATAAATGCCAGAATGGGCAGATGTTGGAGAGAGAGGGTTTTATGCCCTGGCCTGACCTGGCTTCTTAATGTGCATTTTCTGATGGAAATATGACTAACTGAACTGAGGTCAAAACCTGCAAATCTAGCAGTAAAAAACACATGGGTTGCTGCAAAACTTTTGGATTCTGCCATGGAGAAGTGTTGTTTTCTTCTGCCTCTCAGACCACAGAATCACAAGCCCAACAATCACAAAAATCCAAAACAACAAAACTGCTGTACTCTCTAGTACACTTATTATCGGTCCGTGATTTCAGGTAGAGAGAGAGACAGACAGAAAGATGATAGGGCTTACTGTAGTAATTAAATAAATAGCCTAAGACAGATTGCAAGTTAGGCAAAGAGAAACCTCTTTTTCAAAGAGCAGGGGCCTAACTTGGTAGTTGGTATTAGGGTTAGGGGAAGCCTTTTAGTAACCTTATTTCAACATTTCTTTTCCTTTTAAACAATGGAAAAACAAAAGGAAAAGAGCAGGGGGAAGTTAAAACCTACTCACAATATTTTCACTAGGATGTGACCTTAAAGAGAGAATCTAGTCCTTGAACACTTCACAGAGACCTAAGGTCCTAAACAAAGCAACATGCAAACAATGAACCTTGTACAACTACTGAGTATTGACCTTAGAGCCACTTGCTAGAGCATATTGTAACAGAGTCTATTTTCCTTCCACGGCCATTTTGATTACATAATAAATTTATACAAGGGGCCAAAAGTGCAGATCTGCATCCGGATGATAACGACATAAACCAATTTACTATATATCATAAATATAAAGAGCAGAGAAGGGGATGCCATTTCTGCTTAGCTCAAGTGGTGAAAATGCAAGATGAGATGTAAGTTTGGGGCGTAGTGCTCTCTCCTGTAAAGGCAAAAAACAGAGCCAAGAGAGGGGAAGGGAGAAAAAATTGAGGATCAGTGGAATAAACCTAAATGCCTAGATAGGGAGAGAGGGAGGGAGGGTCCATGTTGTCATTAGGAGGGCCAACATGGAATAGAGATGCAAATGGGTTTGGCTCCCACCATGTCCTTGCACACATAACACGTACCCCAAAACACCCGTGGTATGTCCTTTGCCCCCACACTCCCACATGACCCCCCTGGCCCTCTATCCCTTTCTCTCCGTCCAACTTTTTTCATGAATAAATACCCCCTCAATCCTCAATCCTCAATCCTCCCACACCATTCCCTCTCACCCCTGCTTCACTCTCTTATCCCTCCCCTTTCCTTCAAGCCACAAAAACCTTTCTTTTTCACCAGCTGCAAAACAATGGCAATTAGAAAATCATCCAAACTGCCTCAAACCGCAGTTCTCAAGCAAATTCTCAAGAGATGTTCCAGCTTAGGAAAGAAACATGGCTACGACGAAGATGGGCTCCCTCTTGACGTACCCAAAGGTCACTTTGCCGTTTATGTTGGCGAAAACAGAAGCAGATACATTGTCCCCATCTCATTCTTGACTCACCCTGAATTTCAATGTTTGCTTCGACGAGCTGAGGAAGAGTTCGGGTTCGACCACGATATGGGCCTTACTATCCCCTGTGAAGAAGTTGTTTTCCGCTCTCTCACATCTATGCTTAGATGAAAAGTATGGAAAAAAAAATTTGATATGAAAGGGTTCGCTTGGAGAAGATGCCCAAGAGAAGTAGCAGCATTGTATTTGTTTAGCTAGCTTCTCTTTTTTTTAACATCATTCTTCATTGTGATTCTCGATTTTTTTTTCTTTTTGCCATTTTGAACCCATTAATTTGGGTTTTTTATGTTTAATTAGTAACTAGTGACTCTAACTTAAACCCAAGAATTAAAATTTTCTGGGTTAAATCATTTGTATAAAGTTTGTTTCCTCACAGATTGTGGTTGTAATACTGCTGTGAGAGAAGTTGGGTCTTGATTAATGAAAGCAAGGTAATCAACCTATTTAACTTCACATCCTCTCTCTCTCTCTCTCACTGTTTAGCATCCAAACTGGAGCAACAATAACATCAACCTTTTGCTAGCTTAACTAGCCAGAACAGAAACTGGATCATTTGTCAAATCAAGTCAAGGATATGTAAGTAAAACATTAAATTGTGCATCCACAGCAACATGGCTTGTCAGAGAATGTAGGGTACGTAAGCAAGTACGGAATCACAAGGTTATATTATCCAAGTTTTGAAATCAATGTACAATATAAGAACTAAGATAAGTGTTCTTGTTCTTGGGTCATTATTCACTTTTTTCTTCTTCTTTCTTTCATGCTAATTAAGAGAGTAAATATTAGAAGCTCAAAATTAAGAAAACAAGATGGGTTTGGAACCAAATGTGATAACACCGACAGACCCTAAGCAAGAGGACTGGCATCTTAAGGAGTTTGTCTTTTCCTTTTTTGGTTCATTCGAGTATGCATGTACGTTATATATGTAATTTCTCATTCAATGTATTAGTATGTATTATTTCTTGGGATGCTTGTGTTGATATATAATTAGCAAAAAACTGTAGTTGATGTATGCGATAATGACCAATTAATATATATTTTCAGTCAGACAGAATAATTTTCACATTGTTTCATGTCATTCCTTGAAGTTTCACACTCTTTCGTTTTCTTTGAACCCCAAAAATGTGATTGAAGTGTTATGTCTGCAAATTATATAAGGCACCATGGGCAGCATGTTTCAACACCAAAAAGGAGTGAAAAATGAAGGAAGGAGAAGTGATGAGAAGGAGCAAAAGACAGCATTATCCCATTTCATTGTCATCTTAATTGACTATTCGGGTCTGCTCTTGTCCTCCTGCATCAATGGTCTGATCTAATCCCCAGCCCTGCAGCCCTTCCACATCTGCATTTATCTGTTGGTTTTGACACATAACTCTCACGTCACATGACCTAAATATTCCAAAATTCCATTTCTCCTTTTCCTTCTCTTAATACCAACATCTTAATTTTATTCACAAATCTTTTTTCGCATAGGAATTTTACCTGTCTTATCTTCATCCTTTCGTGGCAGAAAATCTTCCGAACATTCCCAAATCCCAATCCTTGTGGTTCATGCATTTGGACTGGCTCTTCCTAACACTTGAATCTAACAATTAACCATGCATTGACCTCGTTTTCAAATCAAATTCTAATTGGCATTCCCATTTTTGTCGAATCAACTGTCTGCCCATTGGGGTGACCTATATCATTTAAGTAAGGTTGTTTAGTGAAAATGAGAATGCATTTTTGTTCAGATATATATATATATATATATAATCCCTAGATATCAAATAAAAAAGGCCAGTTGAATCACAAGCCTTACAGTGTTGTTTTCTTTTCAACAGTTTAAAAGAGACTGTAAATTAAAGCTAACATGCGTTTGGGGGGTTAGAACTGAAGAAGATGAAAGAACTAACCCATCCATGACTTGCATAAATCTCTCTCTCTCTCTCTTCCCACACTTTGGCAGTGTTTGAGTCATAAGAGAAAACCAGGCAATGCGTGCATTGTAACTGCATAGACCACCTCTCACGTGCAAAAAAATTCCTTCTCACAACAAACAGAGTATTATTAGCATTTGGTGGTATAAGCTCGGGACCATGATCAAACACTTGAGCCGTTCATTTATGTGATTCCTGATGGTAACTGCTTTTCCATACATGGACCAGTTAGGAAGCAAAGGCTGCCTCTGGTTAGCTAGCTGGTCCTCTCTTCTCTTTTAATTAATGCATTCTTTTGCCTCTTTTCCTTCTAGCCACAAAAGCCTACTGACAATGCTCAGCTCTTCAATATAACTGCTTCTGTAACTTCCTCAGTCATAAGAATATCTTTTGCTAAGACCAAATCTATTTGAGAATTTTGCTCTTCAGAAAAATATCTTTCACCCCACCATTATTGCTATGGTGTTGTTTCATGCCCTGCCCATGGTCTCTCTCCCTTCCTCTCTCTCATGGGTCTTACTTGTCCTGATTGAAAATATATACATAAAAAACTGAAAGAATCTTAAAATTTATTCTTGTTCCACATTTACTTGTATCACATGGTACATGGAAATTTATTATTTTAGGGGAAAAATATTTATCCCCACTTGACTGCCTCCATTCACTTTTATAAGATTCAAAGTCGAACTTGAACTATAAAATGGAAAAATCATTCATCCTGAATGGAAGTTCCAAAAGTTATGTGTACTTCTCCCAACTGAAAGTATATTTTGCTTGATAACAAGGCCAGCCATCTGGCTCAGGTCCCTCTGGTTTCTTATAGCCTACAAGCCTGTAACTAGATCTGCAGAGTACTTGCCTAAAATTGATCCCAACACATAAACAAAGAAAGCTATTGTGTCTGTTCATGCTTTCCCCTCCTTTGGTTTGGTCCCCATGCATCATAATGTCGATAAAACACCAACTGTTCTTTTACCCTCTTCATTTTCTATATGAACTAGTACAAAAAGAAAAAGAATAGTACTGCTTCTCAATTTCCGTTTTCAAATGCCTTACAAATAGAAAAAGAATTACTAACAAAAATCCCATTCATTTTCTTGTTCAATATGCTATTGTTGCAATTAATAATCTGCCTCCCTTCATGTTTTAGCTAATCAAAATTATTTAGATCGCATTGGAAAGGATTGAAGGAATGAATTATAGCTATTGATTCCCTTTCACAACAACAAACCCCTTTGATTAAGAAGGGGACAGAATTCACATGTACCAATAGGTTGATTAATGAGAAAGAGGTCATGTCTTTCACATCAATTACAGCAATGAGTTGGAAATTTAAAAACTGCACAGATACAAGTCTTCCAGTTGGCTGCATGTTTCTTCTGCAGTTTGTCTCCGATGCCCCACCCCACGTTCTACGTAAATTCATGGAAGGAGCCTTTGTCAGTTCAATACCCTCCATTAAATTCTCTTACCCATTATCAGAATTCAGAAAAATATAAGTTCTATTTTATTTTTTTTTTGTAACACGAGAGAAAGATATTAAGGTTTAATTATAGCTCCCATTTGTTATGTGTTTATGGCAAAGTCACAATTCATACACTATCATTTTCTACATACATGATTAGCTTTGTATAGCCTGACGCATTCTCTCCAACATTGCATATGCTGATAGTGGGCCGATTGTCTGAAGCAAATGCTGACCTTGAGATGCAGGTTATTTTCATTAATACCAACGACCAAAGTGTATGCCTAACAAATTAAGGGGTATTGAAGAGACTGATACTGACATTGAAGGTAGTTCAGCAATCAAAATTTAGTAAATTAATAATTAAATATGCCCCATGATTCTTAAGTATACCTGTACCTGCTGCAGCTCAGGTTTTTTGTTGCCTCACTTGCATCACTTTCAAGCATGCATCCACAGTAAAAGTGGAAGGACATCAATGACATGTTGATTTGTCTTACACAAATATATCTGGGAACATTTGATACAATTTGATAAAGATTATTCCTAGCAATGCAGGCTATAAAACTTTCAGGTCACCCTCGTATCATAGGTCATTACAAGCTCATAGAGCTAGTAAAAAACTTAGCAGCCTGACATCTGAACTTGTAAATGAAGGTTTTCTCTTTAACTGTGATTCCAAATAGTAATATTTTTACATCTACCCTTTACATTATTAACATTAATTTCATTGGAGATGAATGCTGGGTGGGACATTCTTCTTATTATTGCATTTATACAGCTGATTTTGCCACCACAGCAGCATTTGTTGAACTCAGTCGGTTCATATAATATACATAATACATATGCAATGGCCCTCTGTTAACACAATGTGCGATGCTCAGGATAAGCATGGTTCGAAATCCTCAAAAGATATAACCATCTCCTGGATTAGCATTATCTGCAAATCGCGTATTAAGAATCTCATTTAGAGCTGTCACCCTCTTAAATCCTACTCATAGCCAACAAAGAAACCAATGACCTTATTTGGATAGACATATATATGAAACAAAGTTTTATGACATATAAATTTAAAAATTTTTTAACTATATATATACGTACAAAAATGACATATATTATCCTACAATGTTATATATACCAGTATGTCTTTTTTTATGGATTTGGAATCAAATTCTGACCTTAACCCATTTGATCGATTAAGTTCATGTCGAGATTAATGGACTATATATACGTATAAAAAAACAGAAAAAGATTGTTATGATGTCCCTTTTTGTGTATTAAAAAGAGATTGATATTCCATGCAAACACTGTTTAATGCATTTGTTTTTGTTTTCGTCATTGTTAATGTTGTTATTTTCAAGTTGTACCCCGTGGTCTTTTCCTTGTAAGGAGAACCACTGGTTAGGAATACGTTGTGGGGAAGACATGTTGGGCTCCAAAAAAATATTGCAATAGATACTACGAGTGGGCATTGTCGGACCGATTGTGGGGTTTTTATCATCTGTTGGTTGCTTGATTTTTCAGTATTTTCTGCATGCTCTCTTCTTCTCCATACAATTCCTAAATTACAAAACTGAAATCTACGACAACCATTAGGTTATACCAGACGAGAGAAGATATAAACTTGTCTTTTCCTCTATCATCAACAAAGCTTGGTTTCTTCCTTTCGTTACGTGATTTCCATTATCTACTATATATCCACATAATGTCTTCCCTGTCCAGGTTTGTAATATTATATATGGAGTTCATGGCCAAAGGACTGGCAATCAGGAAAAGTTGAGTATACGTACCATAGATCTTAACTCTAAGAGATAAAACCTGTTCAGACAAGCCTAGACCTATCCATACATGAATTTTAAAAACTTTAATCATTCATGTAGATGTTGATCTTACAAATTCAAATGGAAATCCTATCCATAGATAGAAATGCAAAAAAGGAAAAAGGAGAAGGGTCCTGATGATGGGGTCCCTTGGTGCATAAATGCTATTGATGATAATAACTTGGTAAGGTCTCCATCTCTATCATTCTACGGCTAGGATGCTTGCATTCTAGGCTAGCAGATTGCCGA